CCCCCGCCCCGGTAAACGGTGGCTGTACTGTACTCGTTTAAAATAAATAAAATTGATAAGATTTTTATATTATTTTATGCACATAAATTTTAAGATTTTTGAATTTGGAATCTTGTTTGGATTTATGGGTTTGGATTATGTGAGTCGATTAACAACAGCTCCATGCTACATCAGGCAGTTTTGTATTAGGCCCAACGGCGTCTTTGAGCAACTTTGATCTATATAAAAGCTGTAAGGTCCTATTTGATTGTAAAGGTTGAAAAGACAAATCAATTTTATATAAGTTGGAAAAGAAGAACCTACCAAAATCATAAGAATGTATTTCTACTCAATTGATCAAAAACATGCTTTTTAAGTGTTTGTACCTTGAAATTCAAACTACATTTTTACTTTCGTATCAAACAGTCAAAATAAAAAAACGAATTCTTCGAATGTAACATTTTCCATGGAATTGAAGCCAATCAAACGGACCCTAAGTTGTTGTTCTTAATTCAAACAAAAAATAAGCAATAAAATTAAGTAAATTTCAAAATTTTCCCATAGTAACAAATTATTTTTCGGCTTAATTTTTTTTCAATACATTTCATTCTCTCTCTCTTTCTTTTCTGTCAACTTTTGTATGTCTGTAGTAAGCAAACATTGAATAAAGTCAAGCCCCTATTTGGCTCATTAATTTTAATAAGGCCCGTTTGGAAGTGATTTTGATAATTAATTTTGTGACTATTAGAAGAAAAGTGAGGACAACCTATGAGAGAAGAAGTCAAACTTTACGACTGGAATAGTAAAATAACAGTAAAAAAATCAATTTTTTGGGGTGAAAAATCACTCCCAAACAAGCTCTAAATATTTATCTTTTTTCTTTTAACCACATTCTGCAATAAAATTATATTACACATAAATTCAAAAATTTTCCTTCTTTTTTAACCCCACGTTCTTCAAAAAATCACTATTACAAAATACATTTCTTCTCGAAAACTAATTATAACTGAGCTCGAATAGGGGCTAAATGCGTAATAGCATTTGTTCTAATACTTTTTAGCTGTATTTATTTGTTCTTTTATCTTTTGTTGAAGGTAGAGCAAGCAGTTGTAACAGTACTGGGCTTTTCATGAAGAAACTAATATAAATTCTGTAGTCGATGCAAACAAAAAAATCAAGAGGGCAAATTAGGCCCTTTCATTAAAGCAAAAAATATACACACAACTTTTAAATTGTTAGAAGTGCCACAATATGTGACTTCTTAATAAATGTACTTGAAATTTTAAGTAAAAAAGTAACACAGCGTATCATACAGTGGAACCTTAATTCACATTCAACACAACAAAAAATAAAAGTCAGAACTTAATGATAAAAGGTTTCCATAAGCATCTTTAAGCTTAGTGAAGGGTCTATGGTTGGAAGATGGGAAAGTCTGGTTAAACACCGAATCCGATTGAGTTAGAATTGGAGTTTCAATAGATTTACATTATTCTCCGAAGAGCAAAAGCTCCCCGAATCAAGCTTAACTTGAACACCAGACAAGAAATGACTCGACTTTATTTTGCTCGCGAGAACCAATCCACTACGTGTTTATGCACTTAATTTGCACATAAAGATTGCACCAAGAAATGAAATTTCTTATATAATTGATTGATCGCATTTAAACAGTACCATATGATTCATTACATCTGGTTTCTTATAATTCTGATATGTGTGATACATGGTACAAGTGTAATCTCATGAATAATAAAGTCTGTCATAATTTTGATATAATAACAAACTTAAACATATATGCAAATTAGTAGCAAGCAAAAAATTTATTTCGACTTAAGAAATTTTATCTAAATTGAATGATTCCCAAGACCCTTGTTGGGGTTGAATCACTTGCACTATTCCAGCATATCTTCAATTTAATGCACCATTGCACACCAATGGTCAAGAACAGTGAATATCCCCTGAAGCCAATGGACAGAACACTTGGAAGAAAGACCCAATCTTGAGTGAGATAAATGAAAGTCATTAGTTGTAGCGTGATTATTCCTAAACCCAATGTTCTTGAGGGTATGACATGGGTTACTTGAGCGCCTAGCACTCGACATTGGCTCAAGACTTTTTTCTACTCATGCACAAGTAGGAGGAGTTCATTTTCCACATCCCAAATGACAATTTTTATAAGAATTTTTCATGCACCAACTTTGCTCATTTTTAGCCATAATTTCACTAATATTATTAATTATATGAGAGTCATGGGAGGTTCAATAGTGGTGGTAAGGAGGAGTTAATTTGAATTCAAAAATCACACTACTCCCCATCTATAAGGATTAATCAGAGAGAAACCGCAATTTAAAAAGGGTAATTATATTGCCACTACAAAAATTGTCACTTATATCACAATTTTTTTATTTATTCAAATAACCTTAAATAAAATTACATAAGTGGGTTTTTAATATATTTATCACATAAAATAATTTATTCTTCCACCACAATCATAAAACCTTTAAAAATTTATCTTCTTTCCCAATCTCTCCTCCAGTCCCCACCCTCAAGCGCTCAATCATCGATCCATGGACAGAATTGTCCTTCATTACTTGTTAAGAAGGCCGGAGAGTTTCAGGGTGAGGGAGAAATTAGAGTGAACATCGTAAACTTGACAAAATATTGGGGCTACTCCTCGTCAAGCAACTCTACAACAGGTGAAGAGGGCACTGGGGTAAATTAATTGTCACTACATCCAAAACGAAGTCACTAAAAGTCTAAAACTAAAGTGAAAGGAGAATGTAGAGCTATAGTAATTACTAATGATTTGCATAATATTCATCTGTACATATGGTTTTACACATATATAAGATCTAGCTTCTTCTTCATCTTCAGTTTGAAGCATAAAAACAAAAAGTAATAATTCATATAAGTAGATTAATCAATTATAGTGACCTTGTTGAATTCTCAGCAGCACTTGCCAGACGTCGCATTACATCCACTTGAACTCGAAGAGAGACAATGTAATCTAGGGTTTCTTTAATCAAAGAAATTCCATCCATGTTTTCTCCCCCAGGTACAAGACTTTTAAGCACTTTGGTTCTGTTCTTCACCAATTTCTTTGCGATGGAGCTGGCCTTAACTGCATAGGGTCCCATTTTTCTTGCTTTAATTTGGGTAATATGGCTTCTTCTCCAAATCTTCTTGCTTGCAATTCTATTGCTGCGCGCCATCAATCTACTTGGAGCTTCCTTCTTAATTACTTCCGAATCCGAAAATATCTGTTCAACAAAAAGTTTGTTAGTCTCATTTTTCGAAATGTTGGCTGTTAGCGTGCGACTCCAACGAGTGCTGGCATTTCTGGTGGAAGCAATGGCCAAATCTGCTGATAATTTTATGGCCTTTTTTCTCTCCAAAATGTTCATGTCCTTTTTGAAATTACTGTATATACGGATACCCTTTATCCATTTCTTAAGAAATTCTTGTTTGAGGGAAGTCGAATAGCCCGTTCTACACAGAAAAAAGAAAAGCAGCAATTAAGAACACGAACCATTTATCAATCATGAAACACTTTTTCTTTTCCCTTAATAGGATATAAATCTCATATTACAAATCTCTTACTTACACGCAGAAATAAGAATACTGTTTTATTATTAAACTTGTCAAAGTTTTGCCAGTGAAATCTACGTTCCAGTTCTTATAATTATATAAAATTTAAGCAAAGATTTCCAAAAGTAAAATGGAATTACAGATAACGTACTGCTAGCCAGTTCGTATATACATATATGTATGAATTATGAAATAATACATGAAGACCCGAGTTAAATCTTGAAATAAGATTTAAATAAAAAAAAAAAGGAAAAAATAGCTTCGAATGTAAAATAATGACAGAAAAATAGAAAATATTACAATTAGCACAAATAAATTTCATATTATCACAGTGTATACGAAAGAAAACTCGCATTATACCTTGCTTTCATTGAAACCGAATGGAAAGTAGCCAGATGTAATTATGGACAGAGAGAAATTGCAGTAGAATTATATTTTCTTGGGATCCAAATTGTATCAGTCACCAAGAACTTCACAGAGAGAGAGAGAGGAATGAGAAGGAGAAGAATGTGCATAAAGCCAATTTATTGCAGAAAGAAGGGAGGTGGGGGGCCAGTGAGAGAAAGACATTGCACATGCGGGCACATGGAAGTTAATGGCCCACAATTCAAAACCCTAAACAGATTATTGTAATTTGTGGGGGTGATTATAGACGAATTAGTAGTCCCCTCGAATTCTTGATGCTATGCAAACCTAATATCTGTAACTTATTATGACAGCACACTGCATATCAGACATAAAACTCCCAACTTATCAACTTTCACTTCCTCGTGCAACTTAATTCCTCTGGGATCTATGCATAGGGTACAAAGGACTGTAATAACTGACATGAAATATCCATTATTTTCCATTTTCACTTTTCTGAGTTAATTAATAGATAATTCTCATATACACAAGGTAATTAGTCCAAATTTTTTAATAAAGTTCGAGCCTGGCAGTTCATAAGTAAACTCAAGTAGCTTCAAGGCATGCATGTTTGATATGTTGGATATAAGGAGCTAAGATTACACCGGATTAAGACCACATGTCAAGTAACACATTCTTGGTGTTCGATTGGAATGAAAACATTCTTTTCTTTTTTGAGATAATTGTTATGCCTCTTCTGATGAAATTCCCACGTAGCAATCGGTTAACAAGTCAGCAAGGCCCACACTCCACATCATCCTCTTACTTAGCCGAGATGAGGCCATATGAGGTAGTCGAGATGATACATCACTATTGAAATATTGTTGAAATGATAATGAGAGGTGATTTTGGAATTGAAAGAAGTGATTAACCATGAGAAAAATAAGCAAAAACAAAACGAGAACAAGAACAAGAAACGATGAAGGCTGGAAATGGATTGGGCCCCCGACTTTGTGTTGCAATTACAGTTGCCATTTGTTGAACTGGGCAGCCGCCCAGTACAAAAATTTGACCATTGGCGGTATTAAATTTTTTATTGTTTTGAAGTGTTTCGCACTCTTTCGACTTTATTTTTGCATCCTTTTGTGTATGGTGATTGTAATTCTATATATATAAGTGGCTTTCAGGTTGAAAAATATATCACAAACATCAAATTCATCCATTAACATCCAAAATCAAAGATCAAACCAATTTTTTACAATTTTGTCATTTAATTCCTTTTTCCAAGTTTTGATTGCTTGATTGGTTAAGATTTTTTTACTCCTGCAAACTATTTGCCATTGAAACCTTCAAGCACTTACCCCGATGACGGCAAATATCGTTTGAGGACAACGATTCGTAATCATATTCAAACCTTCCATTTTGGCTTCTTCTTTTTTTCCCCATCAATTTTGTTCAACAACTACCCTAGCCATGTAGAACCGACCTCCATGACCTAGCGAGATGCTATGCTTGCTGGAAGAGAGAGCCGCCTCAATACACCTATATATTGACCGATTTGATTATCGGAGTACACACGATTGCCTCCCCCGCCGTTGAAGAAAGCTACGTGTGCCTTATGATTTATCCAAAGGTACGGGAGTAAGACTTACGTGGACGTGAGAGGTGTCGAAATTTGTTTATCACGACACCCTTACAAAAATCAAGGCGAACAATAATCACAGATATTTCGCAATGTAAAATAACTAGCTAATGACAAAAGCTTATAATAGTTGAGTGGGATTATATATACTAAATTGATAGTTTTGTCTTCTAGTAAAAAACAGTTCTTGAATCTTGAGTAGGGATGTACTAAAATAATAATAATAATTAAGTAGAAAATTGGTTTAAAATTCTTTAAATTTTAATAGAAGAATTAAATAAGTTAAATTCGAACAAATTTTGAAATTTTAATGTAACAAATTTTCAAACATATATAGCTAGATTATACTACATGTTTCAATATAGTGTTTAAATTCCCAAGTCGGATGTAGCCTTTGGTTTGACAAAATACATCGACATGTATATTATTAAGTAGTATTAAACATAGTTGAACAGTATTAAAAATGAAATATATTAAAATTGTTATAAAAGTGAAGAAAAAGGTAGAGAACGGAGAGAAGTCAATGGACTTGTGTGTCTTATTAAGAACCAAAACTCTGTATTTATAGTGTAGAATTAGGGATACAATAGTAATAAATTCTAGGGCTGCAGGGATATAATTGTCATTCACCTTTAAACTCTAATAAACTTACCTTTTACAACAAAAAAATTATTTATCGTAAACATGTAATCTTATTTGATAGTGTGCATGTACCAAACATCCGAAGAGGAATTAAGGAGACAAAGTTGGATGAATGAATTATTCAGATTCTTTTTCATTTTTTCTGCAACCTTGAGTTAGGGCTTAGGGTTCTAAAAAAAGGCAACTAGTCAGGAGTTACCTAAACATGATTATTGGTTCCCTTAATGAGATTGGATAATTCTACATGTTTAAATAAATGAGTGCGGCAAATCAGGGAAAATTGGTGATTTTGGAAAAGGGAGAATTGGCAGGATCCGGAAAATATGGTGAAGAAGGGAAAGGAAAAATGGGTCCCATAAGAAGAAATATTCTTGGGGCATAGATTTTGGCTTTGGCAAGAAAGAGAAGTGCCCTCACATGGTATCCACATGGAGTTTTTAAAGCCATTGGCATTGTCGCTTGTGATTTATAGCTTTCTCAGTGTACTGATTTTCAATTATCAATCACATCCCCGGCCTGCTTCCTGGCTTACATGAAAAGATTGTGCATTGTCATTCACTTAGCAAAGTAAGATGGGGACAAAGGTTATAATGGATCTTATTTTTAGTGGACATGCTAATTTCAAAGCTTAAATCCTATTTACTTTTAAGTAATTTTGGAAAAGTTATTTATTTTCAACTTATTGATTTGCTTGTTAGCTAGTAAAAATGGTTGTGATGAAATGTTTTAAGCTTAACAAAATATGCTCAAAGATCATTATCTTAATAAGTTTTAGAGTTTAGCATGGTAGAGAAAACTATTCATAGTCTTTTTTATCAAGGTGAGAAATTAGGAATGAATTATTATTTTTATTTTGGCAAAACTTTTTTGAAGAGAAAAAAGAATTAATGGGTTTCCAATATATATGAAAAGAGAATCGAATAAATCTTGATATATTATCTCAACAAATTTAATTTATGTCGAACTACCTTACTTAAAAGCTTACCGTGTTAAATTGATAAACATTCACTATTCTATTTCTAGTTTTTAACATATTCTTATGTGCATGCACGTCAACTATACAAAGTTACATTACTTTATTTAAATACTTATAGTCTTAAAATGAAAATACGTTTATTTATTTAAAAATTAATCTTCGACAATTAGTTATTTTTTCATTCTACAACTCTTTTTGCTCAATAATGTCTCTATTTCTTATTTTTGGCTCTTTCCTCTCTTGATTTCTTCTTATCACTTGACATTTTGATAGTTGATACACATACAAATCATGATTATGACTAAACCAATTGTACGGATAAATATATCCAGCCTCCCATTGGACATGACTGTGGTACCCTCATGCTTCTGGAATTACTCGATAAATAAAATGATTAAATTGACCATATTCTTATCTAACATCATATTAAATCACAGTTAAAAAAGATAAAAAGTGAAAAAAGGAAGAATTATATTCCACTTGCAAATAGCTTGAAAATCACATTCCTATGGGAGCAGAAACCTTATCCCACATGGTGACAGATAAGGGATAGGGACCAGACAGTTGAGCAAACGGGTGAACCCCCGATATTTACGGCTATCCTCACAAATTATTCATTTTCAGGTACTCTAAATCTGATCCAACAATTGATGCAATGTACGAAGATTGGAACTTATGACTCAACATGGTATGCAGATTATGTGCATGTCTAGTAGACACTACTTGATCTTCTTAGACCTTAGTCCACACATGACATGTCATGCATCATACTTGATTCGTTTTTTTGTGTGTGTAGATATTATTAAGTTTCGTTTTACAGTGTTTTGTTATATATTGATATTGTTAAGATTAAATTAAACTTATGTACTTGTTTGATAGGAATTTTGATAATTGATTTTTTGACTGTTAGAAAAAATATGGGTTCTACTTGTGAGAGAAAAATTCAAACATGACGACTGAAATAGTGAAATAATGGTCAAAAATTGATTTTAATTGACTTAAAATCTGTACCAAACAAGCACTATATTTATATATATAAAAGAATCACTTTGTTGACTTCTAAATGATGATCAGCAAATTCCTCTTAATTAGTTCACTATTCTATTGCTCAATAGGAAGCAAGAGTAGAAATAACTATTTGGGAGTAAACCATTTCAAATTTCGCATAATCTTCTTCATCGCATACTTGTTGATCTATAGATTTCCATTTAGGCATTGGAGATAAAATGATCCTTTGATTTAATGACTTCTATCTAATTCCGTTATCTTGTTCGCATTCTATTCACCAGTTTAATCCTTACATTTTTGCTCAATTTAAAGTCACTTATGAGGTTTCTTCCTTATGAGTGCTTTTTAGCTCATTTTGAGTCCAGGCGTGTTTTTGAGCTCTTAAAGAGTGTTCGCTTGGATGAATAATTCATACATAACACGCTTCTCGTTATAATTTTTCTTATTCATTTTCGAAATGGATAGGCATTTATTTAGGCTATGATTGTTCGTGTTGAGTGGAGGGACGGGAGGGAAGTGGATAAAGTATACTTTTCTCCTTTACCTTGGTCGAAACTGTAAAAAGGAAAAGAAGTCTAAGAGAGAAATTATTTATCAAGATGCCAAATTGTGCAGGGGTTAATCTGACCTATTGTACTATTTGAAATGACATTTAAAATTAATACAATAACAATTATAGATTAATATACTAAAAAGATAAAATGATTGTTTGAGAAGGTAATATTCACCAATATTTACAAATATCCTCAAATTTATTTCTTCTCCAGCAAAGGTAGCTTTACCACCTGCATCTGTTGATCATCGGTGATCAATATCGACACCTCGAGTTTATCTGTGAGCGTATTTGTTTGGATTTCTATATTCTATAAATTTTAATATTTAAAATGTTTGGAGATG